ACATAACCCTATCATATTGATCGACCTGCGTGTTTCGTCTGTTTGTATATTGATGAAAGAAGAGGAATGAAGAAGCTGCCTTTGTTTTTCAATCCAATAATAACCGCATAAATGATGTGCAATGGGGAACATATATTTTGCTATTAGTTATAAAGTACAGTCCAGTAGGGCTAATAACTATTTTGAGCGGGATTCTTCATTCCAGTACGAAATCTGGTTCGGCATTTCCCGTATTATATATTGTAATTCCCTTTTCAGAATTTTTAGAAATTGTACTGATAATTTCTATCAAGTTCTCATAAAAAATAAGAGCTTGCCTCCGCTTTCATTGAATGCGACTTATTGACCGTTATCATGGTCTTCTGATACGCACTTTCAATGATCTTGTTTCTCTTCACTATACTCAAGTTTAGTATCTCTGAATGATTATGTGTGACAGACACGTAAGTAGATCAGGACCCAAAGGACAGAGTACATGCAAATCTTCTTACTAACTAAATTACATTCAATTCGATTTAACATCACTAAACTAAAAAGTTTTACTAAACATGACGAGATTTGTAGAGAATGCACAAATATCCATATTTGTGAGTAACGGACAATTGCTATCATTCTAAAAAAGTATTGGGCAATTGTCATCATTCTCAAAAATCATTCGGCAATACTTTTTTGAACATTGGGCAATTGAAAATCTCTCTACCTCCTACAATATTGTTCTTAGGTTTTTGTTCGAAAAAAAGTTTTGAGCCTCCCCTAAATTAAAATCGTTCCGCCGCCCCTGAATCAAGATCTTTTAGTTCTGAAAGTTTCAGCTCTCTAGCTATGACTAACGATAAAAAACATTGATCGAATTGAAATACATAAGTTTTCGTACTCGATTCTTGCCTCATTTTTCAGCAACAATCGAGTACGAAAACTTTTGTTATTTATCATTAGTCACAGCTATAGACATGAAACTTTCAGAACTAAAAAATCATCATCGGCTATATATGCCATGAAAATTTCAACTCTCTCGGTCAAACAAAAGAATGAAAATATCATTAACGAAAAAGTTGATAAAAAAATGTCTGACATGAAGTGACATCTATGTGTTAGGAATCATGACTACAATATAGGCATGATATGTACCTCTAACTGTATTATATATCCACGTACACGCCATCAATAAAGCTTGGGAAATAGTGCGAAAATATTAGGTAGATAAACAGACCTATTTTGAATAAACACACTTACTTCATCAAAAAACCTTGTTTTTTCATTTTTCTCAAAATCAGTTTTTTCGAGTATACCGTTTACGCAGGCACGCCTTTCTTAATAACGACTCAATAGAGATGGGATCATTTTTTTTTATTGCATAGAGGACAAGTGGTGCTAGATCCTAACAGAGCCCGATTTTTGAATTTCTCTTCTGCTGAAATAATAAACTTGGATCTTTCCTTTTGTTTAGCGACTTTTTTGACCATGAATTCCAGAATTTTTCGAAAAACGTTTCTTAAAAAACAAACGAAGGGAAATTCAAAAATCGGACTCTATTAGGATTTAGCCCTAAGAATACTCTACAATTTAAAAACCATGCCGACATGCTTAGCTAATATCCTCATGTTGAAAACCTTGCCCGCGTAAAGGGTATTTTTGACCAATGAATCAACTAGAACTTGTGCATATCTTTGAGATTTGGGGGAGATACTTTAACCATAATCTATCCTTGCCTAGACTAACATTCTCTGAAATTTTGGTTAAAATCGGCTGAAAAATAACAAAGTTGATTTCTGAGGGGGGACCCCCTTAAAGTGTCTCTTGTAAAGTGAATGAAGCAATTAGACGTATTATCTAGAATAATGGTGTGAACTTTATCTGCTATGAAAGAAAAGTTGAATACAGATTCAAATGTACTACATGAAATGAATTTAACATATAGTAAACTACCTATGTCCTAAACAGCGCCAAACATACAATATAAACTTAAAAAATAATCCAAAAAAATAAAAACTCATTGAAACTAGAAAAACATGTATCGGGTCCAAACTTCAATTTTGCAGGAGAAAAAGCTAGTAAATTTGTCTAGCATTCGTCATACAAGCTGTGCCTTTCATTAAATCTCGTATGTCTAAAATAACTCGATGCGATCAATCTCTTTCAAGCACTTTGGCATAACAGAGATTTTATATGGCGAAGATTCGTCTGAAAGTTTAAACAATATGCCCCTTAAAACCAGTCAATTACACGGGTCTTCAATATAGTAACTATAGAATCAGCAAATATTATTGTGTCTTACTCAAGGTGATGCTGTGGATTGAAAAGTGCACTAAAAACAATATGCAAAAGACAAACCTGTAAAGTAGTAGGAACGAAGAAAAACAAAATTAATGTTGTTTTTTTTCTACTGGCAACTATGATGAATAAATATTTGAATAGCTTGATTTTTTGTAACATATTGTCCCATTTTCGATTTCTATATTAGTCATTACCTTCTCTGAAGTTTTATATATATTGCATTAAAAATATGTCAAGAAAACAAGTGAATCAGTAACTACGGAAAAACAGTTTTCATTCACAATTTTACGGTGTAAAATATAAGAAAAAATAAAGCATTTTCCAGCGGCTTTCATGCAAAATGCTGTAAAGTTCTTCGAAATGACAAAAATCACAGTACTTATAAGCGCTTTTTGTAATGAGCATTGGAAAGCGCTTAAAGGAATAAAAATCTACAGCGATTTTCAATGCGTTCCGTGATAAGTGCTGTGAAGTACTTAAAAATATAAAAACTTACAGCACTTTTCAGTACTTTTCATGATAGACGCTGGAAAGCGCTTATCAAAGACCATTATAAGTTATATTAAGCGGCTTAATTGATTCAAGTCGCTTTCAGCAGCTTAGAACCATAATGTTTAAGCACTTTAAAGCACTTAATTGAAGCGTAAGCTTATTTAAGCGCTTGAAATTAGCTTACACATGCAATAATTTTCATATGGGGCCGCGATGGACATCTCTGACAGCCAATGAAAATCGATTACAAAAAACTAAAATTCATCAGGTTGTTTCTATTTATCAAAGATACTATTCAATTTCTTATACATTCGGTTAACACTAGTTTAATCAATTTCAATAAAAAAAATATTAATTATAAGCAGAGTTTTTAACAATGTCTTTTACATAAAATTTAATTTCGTACAAAATACAAATGCAAAACGAATCAATAACATTGAAAGAGAAGTGACAAAGAAGAATAAATACTTTAAATATTTGCGAAATCAAATAATTAGACAAATATCGTTTTTCAAAAGATGGTACATATATCGGACTTAGATAAGCAAAATATATTTTATATAATTAAGAAAAATGTGAAACGTTCGAAACAATTCTGATTCAAAAAATATTTTGTGCACTTACAATAAAGTAGTATTCTTCATTCAAATATATTGACAACAATCATTATTATTTCAAAATGAGGCGAAAATAATAAAACCTTAAATAATTCATTCAAAAATAAAATTGTAAGATTGAGACCTATATTTTTATCACCTATGTATATTTCGACAATAAATCATTTGAAAGTGGCGGGTAGTTCAACTTCAGTAAAGTAAGGACTAAAATTTGATTATTTCGTAACATCTATATGATGTGAGCAACATTATTTTAATTAACATATTTGATTCATTTCTAATAGACATAGATGTCAGCACAGGCAAAGGATTTCTTTTGACTTGTTGAAAATAGTTAGATGCAGTAGTCGTATAGAGCATCTCTTATATACAGTACTGATCAAAATTATAAGACCATGTCGCACTGGTCTTTTAATTTCAATTTCTTTTTTCTGATATATCAGATTTTCTTTCTAGATTGATTGTATTATATAGAGGCAGTTGTGCTCTTTCAAAATATAGTGAGAAAAGTTTATTATTTCATATAGTTACCAAAACAAAAAAATAGCCTAAATTTAGCTGATCAATATTATAAGACCATCTACATTTTTTTAAATGTCTTTTCGAAGATTCTTATTAATATTTGTTGAATGTACCACCACGAGATTTGATACATTGTTTTATACAATTTTGCATGGAATTGACTAGTTTTTGACAATACATAGGTGTTACACCAAGCCAAATATCTTGAATCATTTCCTGTAATTGGTTAACATTCGTGTGTTTCATTTTTCGTAATTTTTTATCAATGTGATCCCAAATGTTTTCGATGAGATTAAGATCGGGCGATGTCGCTGGCCATTTAAATACATTAATATTATTATCTTTGAACCATTTAATAGAATATGTCGATGTGTGTGGTGGTGCATTGTCTTGCATAAAAGCCCATTCTTTGTTTTTTGGATCAAATGTATTTTCAATGAACATTGGTAAAGTTTCTTCAATTATCTTGATATAAGCCGGACCATTAACGTTACCCAAATACATTACCAACGGACCACGAGCACCATCTGACATACACCCCCATACACTAACACTACCAGCATCACCTTGCATCTTTGGAAGAAAATTAAATGGTTCATTACTTTCATTTTGCAAACGGCGAGCGAATGTACGATTTTTACGATTAAGTACTTCAAAATGTGCTTCATCGCTCCAGATGATGTTATTCCATTCTTTCACCCAATATTGATGTTGTCGAGCAAAGGAAAGCCGTTGTCTTCGCTGTGAAGGTTTTCGATAGGGCTTTCGTTTTGCTGTATAATTACTGTACCCCATATCAACAAGTTGACGACGAATTGTTGGAGTACTCAATCGTTTACCATTTGAAAGTACTAGCTCAGATGATAGTTCTTGACTGGATTTTGTTCGACCTTTTTTACATAAACGTAATAAATTTCGATCATCAGTTGCTGTTGATGCTTTTTTGCGCCCTTGTCCAGGTAAATTTAATAAAGGTAAATTTTGTTTTAATTTTTGTTCTACACCAAAAACACATGTTTTTGACACACCAACACTCTTAGCAATATGACGTTGGTTAAATCCAGCTTCCACCAAAGCTTTAATTTCAGTTTTCTTCTCTAAAGATACTTTGGCACGGCCCATGATCATGAATTACACCGGTAAAGTGCTATATACAAAAAAAGTATCTGACAAAAAAGATCTAAAATAAAGTAAAATAATATTACGAGAGATGCCGTTCCATATATATAATATCTGATTGATGCGTAGTCTGAAGCTCAATAAAAAAAATTTTAAAATGTAGATGGTCTTATAATTTTGATCAGCTAAGCTTAGACTATTTTTTTTGAAACTTTTTTGTTTTGATAACGATGTGAAATAATAAACTTTTCTCACCATATTTTGAATGAGCACAACTGCCTCTATATAATACAATCAATCTAGAAAGAAAATCTGATATATCAGAAAAAAGAACTTGAAATTAAAAGACCAGTGTGACATGGTCTTATAATTTTGATCAGTACTGTATGGCAATTAGTATTTTTCGCTTTTGTTTTACGCTCACATCTAACCATACCAATGAGGACAGAATTATTTTCACGTGCTTTTTTCTCAATGGCATTTCGATACACAAAACTGACTAGTCGAATAGAGAAAATGATATTGATGATATATGAATGTGATTTTAGTAGAAAGCAAAGTCGAGATATTAAGTTGTTATCAAAACAAATATTTAACAAACTTGACATAAAGTTATTCTTCGCAGATTATTAGTTCGTTTATTAAGCTAAATTTTCTCTCATCATAATTGAAAATAAACTGCCATCTGGCATGCCTTCTATTCGGATACCGATTTCGATTCTACTACAAGATATACACATCCTTTCATACACGAACAGCACAGAGTGAGAATGATGATGATTGTATCGTACAGAAGCACTTCAATTTCATATTCATCAAATTTAATATGAAAAAAAACGATATTCTATTTGTATTCAACAAAATCATTTTATAGTTTCTATGTTTTATCTCTACGTCATTTGTTTATCAAAAACTAACATCAAATTTTATGTGATGAAGTGTTTTTATTAGTTTGGCAAATCGTAAAAAAACATAAAGATGACAAAAAATAGAAGCAAAATAAAGTTTTTCAATAATAAATTAAATTAAACTGTTTTCTTTTTCATTAATCAAACCTATGGTCTGATTAATGCCGTTATAATAGCACCAATGAAGTTAATAATAATTGCAACAATTCCTATAATCGCAGCAGCACCGAAATCTAATTTAATTAAACTGTCTCCGCTAACAGTAGCATTGATACCAACCGCAACACCAATAATTCCCATAATAAGACAAGCAAAAACAAGACCTTTGGTTGCTAAGAGTAATATTCGGGGTGTTTTGTCACCTTGTATTGCATATACTACAAGGCATATTGCAGAAATACCAGACAGAATACAAGCTAGAGTAACAAAAGCTCTAGCAGTTAAAATTTTACTGCAAAAACTAGTTTCGTCGCTTTCCGACGGGCACGATATAGCAACGCATGTCTTTATATTCGGAGCACTACTACAGATACGCCAAAGACCAGTTGTGATTTCTGTAGATTCATATGTAAATTTACTCCTAAGAGATATAAAACACAAGATTTATTTTTTTTAAATATATTTAATTATGAAATAATTTTTATATTAATTTGTATCAAAATCAAGTGATGAAAATTTTTACATACCAAATTGGAACTGCATTGCTAACAATGAAAAATATAAAACTTAAGCATAAAAGAGATCCGGCTGTAATGGATAATAATCGAGTATTTATTGCCATATTGTCACAATGTAAATGTAAAATATTCGTAGTTATTTTTTTTTGAGATTGTGATATTATTCCACTATGTAAAAGCAATTTAAAGGCTTCAAAGCGTCCGCCTACACTACTATTACTGATAAAAAAGAAAAATAGAAACTCATAAAAAAATTGAGTGTATCGAGTGCTTCTTGTTGTATATTTTTGTAAGTACCTCACATGTAATCTTGCAAATCATTGGGTATTAATCATTTATATATGTCTGCCATAACAAGTGAGTGGATAAGCACCATAAAACTATAACAACCAAATACATTATTAATCATTCGTCATGATAAGTTTTTTGTTGTACGCAAAAATGATGTAACATTTTTTATTGTATATATGAAAGATAAATACTATTCGGTAATAAAATCTACTTAGTTGAAATATTCACAAGAAAATATTTTCACTGGAATACTTCATATAGACATCAAAATTGATTTAAAAGTCATTCTTTTTTTAAATTTGATCCAATGTTGAAAGTTAATTTGCTGAATATGTACAAATTTTAGCTACATAACTGAAAAATTACTAATATTTTTATAAGTTTATTGCATTTTTAATCAAAAATAGATTTAATTGAGATGTTAAACACGTTGACAATTAATCTCTTTTGAACAAAATCAATGACTAGACATATACATAATTGTTGCATATATATATATATATATGAATATCGATTGCTGTACATTTATTTCACATCATAACTGATAAAAAACTCTTAAATCGTTCTGATGTTAGTAAAAAGAAATTATTTCTGAAAAATATCTTGAACTAAATGAGTTCTTATGAAATTGGAAAGACTTTTCTGGAGACTCAATATTAAATATCATTGATTAATTACTCGCATAGAAAAAAAATGATTGATAAATATTGAACAGTGGAT